TTTAAAAAGGCTTTTACTTGAAGTTACTTTCTCTATAGAAGGGGAATCCAAAATGTAGCAAGCTTTCATTTTTAAATGTACAGGCTTTTGGTGGTTGTGCAGTGCGTGCACTGACCAAATACTCTGTCATTTAAAATATAATTAGGGTGAGGGTCAAAATGGGCTTTTTAAAAAAAGAGATTTTTGCTATATTGTGTGTACACTGGCCAGAGACAGAAAACAAGAAATCACCCCAGTGGGAAGGCCATGCGGCAATCCCCTTCTCCTCTAGTCTCCTCTCGGGATTTTGGGAGACACGCACACTGTCCTGCCCGAGTTTCAAGCTGCGTGGACTGTCTGGGACTCCAACAGCGGTTGGCCAAGTGGGAGTCCAGTGATGTAACTGTAACGCCATCTGCTGGCCCCAAAATGAGCAGGTTTCTTGTTTTTCCAAACTTTTTCCCTTAAGATCTTTATTTCAGAACGGTGTTAGATGAAGCGAATCATTGGGAGGCCAGCAGAGGTCCCTATATTCCACCCAAGACAGGGTTTTCAAATCTTTCTCCATTTTCCACCCCCAAGCAAACTCTCCCGCACTTCTGCTTCCACCCTAAGGCTTGGCAGTGCCCAATTCGCACAGCCTAACCTTTGTACTGGAACCCCAACTTCACCGCCCAGACACTGGTGGGGCGGTAGTGAAACTCTGGAAATGCGAGCCCGGAAACCTTAACGCTGTCGCCTAGCCCAGCCCCGCTCTTGCAGAGACACGCTGCCAACGTGGCGCCCCTAGCTCGCTCCCAGGAGCCCAGCAGCCGGGCAGGAGCGGAGGCCGGGGAATCCGACCGCCCAACTCTAGGCCTCTCCTCCGAGGGCAGGTTCCCGGGGCCCACAGATGTTCAACTGCTACCGTGCGGGGTGTGGGAGGCGCGCGGCGGGTTACACACACGAGACCGCGGGGCACGTCGGCGACGTACAGGGCGGCGAACCACCTGTAGGCCGTGAGCAGGCGCAGCGCGCGCTCGCGCGGCCCACGTGCCTCCTGGCGCCTGTCACTCTGCGCGGCGGGGGCGGGACCAGGGGCGGTGGGGGGGGGCCGCGCGGGAC